AAAACACGGAGCTTGTTTACACCACACTTCAGCTCAGAGAAGAGCTCCATTAGAACCTATGGAGGAAAGTGAGGGCCCTTAATGCATCTTATAACCAGAGGCAAACTGAGCAAGGGCATTAGTAAGATTAAAAGCAAGTAAAACTAACAGTGCCAAGTGACTAAGGAAAACAACCTCTTCCCAAATCTATAGTTTAAAAAATTGTGTACTAGTTGTACAAGGTCCACAAGGCTGAAGTTTAGAGCTGACTGTAATCAAGTTTACACTTGGGACCTTTATTAAATGAATTCATTTATAATAAAAATCATAAATAATGTATGAGTCATATGAAAGTGGACACATCTGCAAAATAATTATGAAAAAGTGCAGAATATGTATATCTGTATAATTTTCAGTTATTTATCTTAACTCTAAGTATTGCCTATCATTCTTGCAAGTTGTAGTCTGGTTTCCAGCATTGCAGCTCTTTGTCCAACCCTCAGCCTAGCCCCTCATAAGTGCGGCTCTATGTTCAGCAGAAATGCTTTACCCGCTTCTCATTTTCCCACCCAGGATATGAAAGTGTCTTAACTCAGGGTAAAGCTCCAATAATTGCTTTATTGGGACATTTCCTTGAACTTATGTGGGCTTGTGTATGGGGCGAGGGGGGCGGGGAGAAAGGAAGGGGGCTGTGGATCTTTCACCACATCAGTTTGTGACACGTGGCCAAAGCCCTAGCATTTCTTTACCCACAGTAGCTAACACTAAAAGTGTGAATGTCAGCACAGGGAAAGGGCAAATAATCTCAGTTTTGTTTTCATAGAAAGTGAGCTACGCTGTAGTGCAGAGAGAGCCACTGTAGTATGCTTAGATTGCTATTGTTCGCTATGCTCACATAAGCTATTTTGTATTCACTTCCTATTCTTTCAGCTGGTAGTTAAACTGGCACCTCACTGGCACCTCATTTTTCCTTTCTTCATTATCCCAGCGTAATCATAGCCTATTGTTGCTTTTAAAAAGTGTTTAGTGCTCTACAAAGTATTTAGTGTTTACTCTCTAAGTTATTGTGTATTATTCACTACCAAGCCTAGTAGGGTAAAATGATTATTTCCTTGTTTGCACGGTCAGCCCTCAGCATCCTCAGAGATTGGCTTCAGAGACTGTCTCCCTGGTAAATGTCAAAATCTGAAGATGCTCAGATCCCTTCTATATGATGATTCACAACAGTGGCTAGCTACTCAAGAGGCTGAGATATTAAGATCTTAGTTCATAGTCAGCCAAAGCAGACAATTAAGGAGCAAAAAAGCCAGAAGTAGAGCTAGAGCTCAAGTGGTAGAACACTAACCTTGAGCATAAAAAGCTCAGGGATAGCACCCAGGCCCTGAGTTCAAGAACCAGGACTGAAATACACGCGCACACACACACACACACACACACACACACACACACACACACACTAATTTATTATCTAGGATTAAGGGCATGACTTAATGATAGTACACCTGCCTAACAAGCATGGGGCCCTGAGTCCAAACCCCATCTCTCTCTCTCTCCCCCTCTCTCTTTCTCTCTCTCTCTGTCACACACACATACACACACACAGGTGAAGTGAGAGAACATAATAATGATTGAGAATTGGTTGTAAAATTTAGCTTTGTGTAGGAGGTAATTTCTAAACCAAGCATTGATGGATGAATTATGTTTGCTATTGCTGCAAATCAGAGGAAGAAAATCTCAGAGAGCAAACCTTAAGCAGAAAATTGAGCATGGAGGTGGCTGTGACATATCCATGGAACAGTGGAGGACAGCTTGAGTGTTGGGAAGTGGCTGGGTATGTGTGTTCTCTTTAATGTACCATAAAAATGATGAGAGGGAAGAATTAAAGCATAGAGTTGCTAGACTTAAAATGACAATAATGACGGCTAAGCACACCAGGATCCCTTAATTTTCTTTACATGGAATAGTTTTAATAATTTTCTATGTATTACTTTTTGTGGTGCTCATTAATAATTACTATTTCAAAAGTGAAACCGTGCATAGTGGCTCATGCCCATAATCCCAGTACTCAGAAGATGGAGGCAGGAGGATCTCAACTTCTAGACTGGCCTGGGTTACGTAGAAAGAACTTGTCTCAAAACAAAACAACAATAAAAGTAAAAACATAAAAGAGATGGGCTGGGAAGGTGGCTCAGTGGTAGAGCGCTTGCCTTGCAAGCCAGAGGCCCTAGGTTCGATTCCTCAGCACCACATAAGCAAAAAGCAAAAAGCAGGAAGTGGTGCTGTGGCTCAAGTGGTAGAGTGCTAGCCTTGAGCTGAAGAGCTGAGGGACAACGCCCAGGCCCAGAGTTCAGGCCTCACGACTGGACCCAAAAAAAAAAAAAAAACATAAAAGAGTACACTGAGATATCTTCCTTCTATCTGTCACCATCCATTTCCCATCACCCCTAGTGAGTAGCCACTTCTGCTCATTGTTTTATTCTTCTAATTATGTCTATGAAAACAATGTGAGTAGGCTGGGCACCAGTAGCTCATGCCAGTAATCCTAGCTACTCAGGAGACTGAGATCTGAGGATCACAGTTCAAAGCCAGCCCGGGCAGGAAAGTTCGTGAAATTCTTATCTCCAATTAATCACCAGAAAACTGGAAATGGCACTGAGGCTCAAGTGGTAGAGGGTTGGCCTTGAGCTGAAGAGCTGAGGGACAGTGCCCAGGCCCAGAGTTCAAGCCCAAAAACCGACAAAAAATAAAGATAAAAATGTGAGTATATGTTATTTCTTATTCTCCTGCATCTGTTTCCTAGGACTGACACATCACATTGGATGATTTCAAACAACAGAAATAGTCAGGTGTGATATTGTGTGCTTAGAATTCCAGCACTGGGAAGCAAAGGCAAAACAATCTCTAAGTCTATGACCAGCCAGGGCTGCCTAGGGAAGCCCTGTCTTTAAAACTGTCCCTCACAGTTCTGGAGACGACAAGTCTGCAATCCAAGTGTCACTAGCACTACGTTCCATCTGAGACTCTGGGAGGAATTCTAGCTGCTTCTTAGCTTCTGGCTGCTGTCAGTCCTCGGCATTCCCCAGCTGACAGCTGCATCAGCCCAGTCTCTGTCTCTGTCATTGCACAGTGTTCTCCCTGTGTGTCTCCAATTTCACAAGGCGTCTCATCTTCTTCTAATGACCAGGTCACACTGGATTTGGTCCCACCCTGATGACCTCATCTTAACTTGATTACGTCTGCAAAGACTATTTCCAAATAGGGCCATGGTTACATATAAGAGTTAGGATTTCACCATATCTTTTTTGGCAATCTATAACTCTCTCTTTTACCAAGCTACCTATATGTTGTTTTTTTTTTTTGTTACTTACTATTCAATTTAACCATGTATCTGGGGGAATCTTTCCATATCAGTACTTAGTGCTCTTTCTCATTCTCTTTGTAGAGCAAAGTGTTACACTGTGTGGCTGCTTCGCGTCCATTGCCAGTACCCTAAAGATGGACATTGCCTGTTTCCAACCTTTTGCTATTTCAATATCTAGTCTGTACACTTCTCATTTTGTATATGTGCAAGTCTACCTGTATAATAGAGTCCAACAAATGTTCTGTTGCAAGAATAAATGCATCTGTACTGTTGGCACTGTTCCAGATTTCTTCCCCTGGGGGCAGTGCAATGTGAATGATCATTTTTCTTATGCACCTCCAAATTCAACACATTTTATGTATTATTTTGTGTAAACTTTTGGCCACAAAAAAATTCCTGTACTATAATAAAAGTTTCTAACTTCAGGCATATAGATTAAGAGACCATAACCTAAGACCCAAACCAGCTTTGTGGTGACTAATATTGGCTTTTTCATCATCTCTCAGTTATACTAGATGATGTGTGTGTGTGTGTGTGTGTGTGTGTGTGTGTGTGTGTGTGTGTGCATGTGTGTGACAGTGCTGAGGCTTGAACTCAGAGCCTTAGCTTTTTTTCACTCAAGGCCAATGCCCTACCACTTGAGCCACAGCTCTACTGCCTGCTTAATTGAAATTAAGAGTCTCAGGGCCTTTACTGCTTGGACTGGCTTTAAACCATGATCTTCAGATCTCAGCCTAGGAATGAACCACTGATTCCTGGAAATTTGTATCATTCTTTTTCTTTCTTTTTTTTGTGCCAGTCCTGGGGCTTGAACTCAGAGCCTGGGCACAATCTCCAGTGTTAGCTCAAGACTAGCACTCTACTACTTGAGTCATATGGCTCCACTTCCTGCTTTTCAGGTAGTTAATTGGAGATAAGAATCTCACAGGCCTTCCTGCCCAGGCTGGCTTTGAACCATGATCCTCAGATCTCAGCCTCCTGAGTAGCTAGGATTACAAGTGTGAGCCACTGGTGCCCAGCTTGTATTCTTCTTTTTTTTTTTTTCAAATTTTATTTTATTGTAAAGATGCCATACAGAGGGGTTACAGTTACAAGGACAAGGCAATGAGTAATTTCTTATAGAGCATTGTTATCCCCTCCCTTGTTGTTCTCCCACTATTCTTTACTTCCCCCTGTATTATTCTTTTTCTTTTTCTTTCTTTTCTTTTGCTTTTTTTTGTCAGTTGTGGGGCTTGAACTCTGGGCCTGGGTGCTGTCCCTCAGCTCTTCAGCTCAAAAGGCTAGCACTCTACCACTTGAGCCACAGCACCACTTCCGGTTTTCTGAGTGGTTTATTGGAGATAAGAGTCTCAGGGCCTTTCCTGCCCCGACTGGCTTTGGGCTGCAATCCTCAGATCTCAGCCTCCTGAGTAGCTAGTATTATAGGAGTGAGCCACCGGCCCCCAGCCCCTGTATTATTCTTAATAATGGCCATTTTCTAATTGAGTCAAGGGTCGATGTAGTTTGAATACTGTTTACTCTTCTCATTGTCACAGCCAAATAAAACTGCTTCATTTTCTGACTCTAAATGAAATTTGTCACAGAATTCTGCTCCGGGAACATCTGGAGCCATCTGTGCTATCAGGTCTCATGTTCAATGGCCATGGTCCCTTTCTTGCAGGTGGTACTGTGAAGGCAAGGAGCTTGAAAATTCCCCAGACATTCACATCGTGCAGGCGGGAAACCTGCACTCTCTCACCATTGCTGAAGCCTTTGAAGAGGACACAGGACGCTATTCCTGCTTTGCTTCCAACATCTATGGCACTGATTCAACTTCTGCTGAGATTTACATAGAAGGTAAAGCAAAATACTCTTGGAACATGATACGTATGACTAAAACATATATTTGTAATAAAGGAACATTTACCAAAGACCTGTTCTATCTCGCACTACTCTAGGCAGTGGACATACAACAATGAACCAAGTAAACAAATATCCCTAGACTCATATACCGATTAAATTACTATATTAAATTATAATAGGAAAGACAAAATAAATGAGGAAATAAAATATAAAATGTGATAGGCATATGTAACACAATGGAAAAAATAGCAAGAATAATGGACAGGAGTTGTATGTGAGTGTGAATGTGTACATGCAAATATGCGTATGTGGGTGTGATTTGTTGTTGTTGGTAGTGGTCATTGGGCTTGAACTCAGGGCTTAGGTACTGTCCCTGAGCTTTTTGCTCAAGGCTAGCACTGTACTACTTTAAGCCACAGCACCATTTCCATTTTTCTGGTGGTTAATTGGAGATAAATATCTCACAGATTTTCCTGCCCAAGCTGGTTTCAAACCAGCCTCAGATCTCGGCCTCCTGAGTAGTTATAATTATAGGTGTGAGCCACTGGCGCCCAGCTGGGTATGATTTTTGATAGGGTGGCCAGTGACGACCTCACTAACCAAGTGACATTGGGAGAAATAAGAGAATGACCACAAAGATAACAAGGAAAAATACTGTAGGCAGAAAAATCTTGTGGGTAGGGGAACAGATTCTTGCTATGTAACCCAGGCTGGTCTTGAACTCATGATTCCTTCTGCCTCAGCTTCCTGAGTTTTAAGATGGCAGCCATTTATCACCAAACCCAGCAAATGTGCTAGTTTTAAGGCAGAGATGAGGCACCATGGAAGGAAGGAAGGAAGGAAGGAAGGAAGGAAGGAAGGAAGGAAGGAAGGAAGGAAGGAAGGAAGGAAGGAAGTTAACAGATGAGGACTGAAGTTCAAGATGAGGTTGAGCAAGGCAGGTGAGCAGATCCTAAGTCCTTGTAAGTCACTGCAAAGATTTGGTTCTTACTGTAAGGGAGATGGAAATTCTGGAGGGTTCTGAGCAGAGACAAGGCATGATATGACTTAGTTCTTAGATGAAGCTCTGAGTGAGAATGTACTGAGGAGAGAAGCAAAGGCAGAAGTATGGTGTCCAGCAGAGAATATTTGGTAAGGCATTTACACCAGCACTAAACTTGCATGAGGATTAATTTTAGGGAAGAAATCAATTTATGTGCCTCATATATCTTCCTAAGTTTTGCTTCCTATTGTATTTCACTCTCTGAATCTTTTCTGGGGGCTATTCTTTATCATGGTATAGACAAAGTTTATTAAAACATCATACACTTATATGGGGCACAGAGGCAGAGAAGGTTAAGTCTGTAGTCAGGGGACAGTCACAGGACAGTTACAAGATAATCACTGACAGAAAACCGGGTGCAGGTGGCTCACATATGTAATCCTAGCTACTCAGGAGGCTGAGATCTGAGGATCACGGTTCAAAGCCAGCCCAGGCAGGAAAGTCCGTGAGACTCATCTCCAATAAACCACTAGAAAGCTGGAAGTGGTGTTGTGGCTCAAGTGGTAGAGCTCTTGCCTTGAGCTGAAAAGCTGAGGGACAGCGCTCAAGCCCAGAGTTCAAGCCCCACAACCGACCAAAAAAAGAGATAATCACGGACAGCAAGTTGACCTTCTTGGGGAATGTGGACAATTAGCAACCTTTAATGGGTGATCGGAAAGAGTCGTTCAAGGTAATAAAAGAGGAAGCAAAGGGGCTGGGAAAGTGGCTCAGTGGTAGAGTGCTTGCCTTGCATGCATGAGGCCCTGGGTTCGATTCCTCAGCACCACATAAGCAGAAAAAGCCCCAAGTGGCGCTGTGGCTCAAGTAGTAGAGTGCTAGCTTTGAGCTTTGAGCTGTTGAGCTGAAGAGCTGAGGGACAGCGCCCAGGCCCAGAGTTCAAGCCCCATAACCAACCAAAAAAAAAAGAAAAAAAGAGGAAGCAAGGTGCAGGTGGGCTCTATTAAAAAGCAAGAGGAATCTTGAGGCTTAATTCTACACAATTAACTAGGAGGAGCACAACCGCACTTCCTGACAACCATCACCTGAGCCTGGCACGGGGCCTTTGCCCCACATGGAGGAAGGGATGTCTCCCTTCCCCCACAGAGGAACACATGCCAGCATGCACCTCTTGGCGCACAGGAACTCAGATGGGGTCTTGTGAGTCGATGCCTCCGACACTTACATATGTCTTGTTGTTAGTGTTTACATATTGTATTATTATGGTAAAAAAATACCCATTGCCAAACTAGATGGCCAAGATGTCTCTTTCTTCTTTATTTCTTTATTTCCTCCTCCTCCTCCTCCTTCTTCTTTTGTTAGTAAGGGGCTTGAACTCTGGGCCTGCGCGCTGTCCCTGAGCTCTTCAGCTCAAGGCTAGCACTCTACCACCTGAGCCACAGTGCTACTTCTGGTTTTCTGGTGTTCTATTGGCCTTTCCTGTCTGGGCTGGCTTTGAACCGTGATCCTCAGATCTCAGCCTCCTGAGCAGCTAGGATTACAGGTGTGAGCCATCGGTGCCTAGTTTCTTTATTTCTCTCTCCAATGATGTTCATAGACACATAGTGAATATTTTAATAAATATTTTATAAGCAGTTATCAAATAAATACATTCTTTTTTAATCCTTGCCTTTTCCAAGTACAATAAATACCTCCAGATTTAGCTCTGTTACATCTTCTTGGACTTCACGGTCTTGAGAACTCAATCTGGATCAAGGCTCTGCTCACAGTGCTGAGATTGGATAGCTAGGTTTTCCTTATTTTATAGCAACAGGATTCCACACACTTCCCCCTCCCCCCACTTATGAGATGAAGTGTTACTTGTTAATATTAGGACAGGACGGAAGAGCACCCACCTACACCTACAATGTTTGGAATCTGCTATAATCCCATCTTTTATTCAATCTGTATAGGCCAAGAGTGGGAGGATTTGTGAGCACCCAAGAATGACTCCAAAGATTGCTCTGTTAGTTCAAGGACATCAGCAGGTGCTTTACATTCTGGAACACTTCAAAGTTGGCCCAGTTTACTTGAACTCTACCACTAACTAGCCGTGTGACCTTGAACAATTTCAACCTCTAATTAGGTATTAATACAGGGACTTACTAAGAGTTATTTCTAAGTTGAAGTTTGTTTTTTTAGGTCTCAAATACTTAGAAACTAGTTTCACAAATGATTGTCTAAAAAATCTCCTATTTTGTCTGACGCTGGTAGCTCATGCCTATAATCCTACTACTCAGGAAGCTGAGATCTGAGGATCAGGTTCAAAGCTAGCCTGGGCAAGAAAGCCTGTGAGACTCTTATCTCCAGTTAATTGCCAAGAAAGCCAGAAGTGGAGCTGTGGCTCAAGTGGTAGAGCAACCTTGAGCAAAAGAAACTTCAGGACAGAGCTCAAGGCCCTGAGATCAAGCCCCAAGACCAGCAAAAAATAAAATAAAAATAAAAAGATAAAATTAAGCCAAGTACTGGTGGCTCATGCTTGTAATCCTAGCTACTCAGGAGGCTGAGATCTGAGGATCACGGTTCAAAACCAGCCTGGGCAGGAAAGTCCATGAGACTCTTATCTCTAATTAACCACCAGAAGAAAACGAGAAGTAGCACTGTGGCTCAAGTGTTAGCATGCTAGCTTTGAACTGAAGAGCTCAGGGACAGCACCCAGGTCCAGAGTTCAAGCCCCTGACTGACAAAAAAAAAAAAAAAAAAATCCCTTATCTTGTCTTTCTTTCCCCAGGAGTTTCTTCTTCTGACTCTGAAGGGGACCTTAACAAGGAAGAGATGAATCGGTAATCCTAATTTTCTATTTTATAGTCTTTGCATCCTTAGATCCTAAGAAAACTCCTAATTAGTGACTACAACTTGAAGGGGGGTAGTTAGTTACAGGGTAAAATCCAAAAAGAAATGAAAAAATAAGGAAGGAGTGAGAGAGGGAAAGGAAAGACTTGGACAAGACTACTTCTTTTGCTTAGATATTTCCTAGCAGATTAATTTGAATATTTACAATATTTTTTAATGTACTGAGCTTCGTAGTGGATCAAGCCAGTAATCCTAGCTACTTGGGAGGTAGAGATGGGAAAATCATAGTTGAAGGCCAGGCCAGGCATAACATTTTGAGGAACTACATCTCATTCAATGGTTGGGCAGAGTTGCATGCTCTTGTAATCCCCAGTGACATGGAAAAGCACAAAATGGCAGCCCACACATAAAGTAAGACCCTACCTTGAAAATAACCAAGGCAAAAAGGCTGGAGATCTGGATCTGTGTCAAGTGGTAGAGTGCCTGTCTTGGAAGCCCACAACTCCATTTATATCCCTTATACCACAAAGGAAAGAATCGCCTATGAAATATTATCATACTTATATCTACAGAGTAAAAAAGCAAATAACCTGCCTGGCACCAATGGCTCATGGCTGAAATTCTAGCTGTATAAGAGGGAAGTCTATGAGACATCTATCTCCAACTGACTACCAAAAGCCAGATGTGGAGCTGTGGCTCAGGTGGTAGAGTACCAGACTGGAGTGAAAGAGCTAAGGGACAGATTCTGAGCACATATATATTATGATCACACACACACACACACACACACACACACACAAATCATCCAATAGCTTTGTATAAAAATCATGTTTAAATATTACTCATAAGAACACAGAATATGCCAAACCCCAGTGGCTCCTGCCTATAATCCTAGCTATTCAGGAGACTGAGATCTAAGTATTGCAGTTCAAAACCAGCCCAGGCAGGAAAGTCTGTGAGAGTCTTATCTCTAATAAACTATTCAGAAAAGGCTAGAAGTGACTCTGTGGTTCAAATGGTAGAGTGCTAACCTTGAGCACAAAGAGGATCAGGGACAGCACCCAGGCCCTGAGTTCAAGCCCCAGGACTGGCAAAAAAAAAAAAAAAAGGGCTAGGATGTAGCTCAGTGGCAAAGCGCTTGCCTAGCAAGTGCAATGTCCTGGGTTCCATCCCCAGTACCAAAAAAGAAAAGACAAAAAAAATACAGTTAAAAACAAAAGAACACAGAATGTGGTGAATTTAAATGTTATTTATTATCTATGTTAGAATTATTTAGATTATGTTTTCATGTGTGTGTATCAATTATCTTGGCAAGTCATATTCTTTTTTATATTAGTGCATATTAATTGTACAGAGGGTTTTCACCATGGTATTCCATTCAACATGTATGTGTTGTACATGGGTCAGATTAACTCTTCATTTTCCCTCCCCACTCCCATTCTTTAACGGCTTTGAGTGATTTATCTTAGGCCACATATACACACACATGTTTTGGTATTATCCCACCCTCCATCACTCTCTTTCCCTTTCCCCTTACCCTGTTTCCTCACAGACAATGTCTAAACTACAGGCATGTGTGTTTGAACTGACTAACAAAGCAATTCAAAGCTCTTGGTAGAATGTTGTCAAAGATTTTTATTACATTTGACTGTAAGCAATGGGGGCACTATTTGTTTTGCTGAAAAGCTTTCTCACAGTTATACTTCTGTCTGATACCCTATGTTTCAATCATTTCTCAGAATCCAGAAGCCAAATGAGGTGTCATCACCCCCCACTACCTCTGCAGCCATTCCTTCAGCAGTGCCCCAAGCCCAGCATTTGGCAACCCAACCCAGAGTATCGACCATCCAGCAGGTATAACAGTGATCACGATTGCATAATTGGAACACAATTATCATGACTGCGATGGACATCCATTGTGATCATGACCATCTTATATGAGCAGGGCCATCATGCTCTCCTCTGTATTATAATTTTATCATATGGAAAACCACTGTGTACCCCCATCCCCAATGTATGAGATGGTGGTCCCTATTGCTTTGGGAACTGATTGGTTCTTTATTCTTCATAAAGTGTGCTGATGTCATATGTGGTCACCCTCCAACTCTCAGGCTGGTCCAGGACAGACACTGTACCACAGAAATTCAATTTCAGGGATTTGCAAAGAATTCTACTTTCTAATTAGAGCAAGCAGGAAGTTATCTTTTTAGAAAACAATAAAAGACGTTCATCTTTTGAATTAGTATTTATAATATATACTTATTAGAAAACACTCAAAGTAAGCTGGGTGCTGGTAACTCACACCTGTAATCCTTGCTACTCAGGAGGCTGAGATCTGAGGATTGTGGTTCAAAGCCAGCCCAGGCAGGAAAGTTTGTGAGACTTTTATCTCTAATAAGCTACTCAGAAAAAGCTGGAAGTGGCAATGTTGCTCAAGCCTTGAACAAAAATAAAGGTCAGAGATAGTGCCCGGGCCTAGAGTTCAAGCCCCAGGACCAGAAGAAAAGAAAAAAAAGAAGACACTCAAAGTATAAAAGAATATTAAGGGAAAAAAAATCTTTACTCAGGGTGCTATCACCATTCCCCTCCTCCTCAAAAGTACCTCCTACAGATAACATTCTAAATAATTCCAGAAATTTTTATGCATATATGAGTAGATACTTTTAAAAACATGAAATCATACTATCTGAATATCCTTGCAAAATCGTATTAATATGTCTGTTGATGATAGGTATACTAAGTATTCTGCCCTTACAACTTTAAAAATTCAGAATTACATATCTGACCTACTTAGTAGGGCAGAGGTTGAGTTTTAGTTCTAATTCACTGTAATCTGGGCAGACCCAGGAGTATGCAGGAGGTTATGAGGTCTTTGCAGGGGACGCTTGCTGACCTTTAGGTAGCTCCGCGTGTTTAGAGGTGAGAGTCAGTACATGTTTCACTGGTGCCAAAACCTAAGGGAAAAAATGTTATCAATTCAGTCTAGAAGCTGAAGTCTGTGATTCACAACCTCAGGCCTCAGACTCTGGATTAGAGAATAATTGTATACATCAAACTCTGTAGGTTTCTGCTATCTTTCTCCTCATGTGTTACCAATGACTCTAATTGTGGTTTCCTTCTGACAGTGTCAGAGTCCCACCAACTATTTGCAAGGACTGGATGGAAAACCCATCATTGCAGCTCCCGTGTTTACAAAGGTAATCAAAGCATGACTTCTGTCTTTCTGTGATATCTTTACACCACAGCAGTGGGCACCCAATGAAGCTATACGGTCCAAGACTCAGTGATTTTATCTGAGGAACTGGGTCTAGTATAAGTGTACAGTATAGGTCTCAGGGTTTGGAGTTTTAATTGTTGTTGCACTATCACCTCAAGTCCTATATTTATGTTTTTTGCTGTTGTTGTTTTTTTAATGACAAAGTGTCAAAATGTAGCCCAGGCTGGCCTTGAATTCTTGATCCTTCTATCTCAGTCTTCCAGGTATGTACCAACCATTGCCTAGCTCAAATCCTAGGTTTCTGATAACAGGGTTGTTGTATTTTATTTTACTTATTTTTGTAATGAAAAAGCAGTGTCTTTCATTTCACTATCCTGATTTCTGTGGCCATTTAGGACTGTTAAACAGTCACTTCCCTCATGTACCTGTAACCCCTCTGTACAGTATTTTCACAATAAAAAACTTATTAAAAGAAAAAAACAAAACAGCCACTTCTGAAAGTCAGGTGAAAGATTCCAGCACTTATGACTCCAAAGGCTTCTTTGGACCTCCAGAAGAATCTAGTTACAGACACCTGTCTTTATGCTCAAGGAGATGGAGTGAAATGTTCTTAGGAAGTTTACCAGAAAGTCTCACTCAAGGACAAAGGGCTTTTCTCTTTCTGTTCCTTGGTATCAGCTACTGTGGTGCTGAATCACAGAGTCTTTGTATTTAGAACTGGAAAATTCAGTCAGGCACTTTCATCTACCAGTGGAATAACCAAAGGAGGCACAGAGAGATTAAACAATTTAGCTGAAGTCACAGAACAGGTTAGCTGCAGAATTAGGCCCGCAAACCAGTTCTTCAACTTCGTAGTCCATGAGTCTTTTTCTTTGCCAATAGACTGTGTATGTATGTTGTCCAAGGCATGAAATTCAAAGGTGACCAAATGGAGTGACATCGGATTTTCCCATATTCTGAAGACCTCATGGTAGGATCTATGCCTAGATTCATATTTTATTGTTTGTATGCACACCAAAAAAGATATTTTTATCCTCTTAACAAATATGTTTTGGTAGCCAGGTGCTGGTGGCCCATGTCCTGTAATCTTAGCTACCTAGGAGGCTTGAGATCTGAGGATCATGGTTTGAAACCAGCCTAGGCACATAAGTCTGTGAGATTCTTATATCCATTTAGGCACCAAAAAAGCTAGACGTGAAGCTATGGCTCAAGTGGTAGAGTGCTAGTCTTGAGCAAAATACCTCAGGGACAGTGCTAAGGCTGTCAGTTCAAGTCCTAGGGCCAGCAACAGGTGACTTGATAGATAGAGACTTGGAGGAATTATGGCAGGCCACGAATATGTGATATAACAGGATGATTTCTTTCCACCTCTTTTGGCATTGCTAAGTCATCTAACCTTAAACATAAGTGCCAGAGAAATCAGTGCTGTTACTTTCATTTATCACAGCCATTTATCACACTTTAGAGACAGTGCTAACTCTTCAAAGGCAGCCAAATCATGGAACAGTTGATATCCAGTCAAAGATCTCTTCCCTTCCTGTCCTCAAAATCATCTGTCTAGGCAGATAGAAGACAGTATCTCCTCAGTTTTGGGGGGGTGGGTTATTTTGTTGTTGTTTTTTTGTGGGGGGGGGGGGGTCATGGGACTTGAACTCTGAGCTTGGGCGCTGTCCCTGAGCTCTTTAGCTCAAGGTGAGTGCTCTATCACTTGAGCCACAGCGCCACTTCCAGTTTTCTAGTGGTTTATTAGAGATAAGAGTCTCATGGACTTTCCTGCCTGGGCTGGCTTTGAACCGTGATCTTCAGATCTCAGCCTCCTGAGTAGCTAGGATTACAGGCGTGAGCCACCAGCACCCAGCTCTATTCAGTTTTAAATCTTAGCCTCTCTGTGTTCAAAGCACTTATATCACCCATCTTATGTCAGCTATGTTTGTCACAAATAAAGCTGTTCTCTTTCCAGCAATTCCCAATCACCTTGAAAAGTTCATAAAGGTAGTAATAGATTCAAAGCTGTTTTTAGTATTTTAAGAAGTCTGGAGTTGTCAGTGTAGCTCTGCTGTAAAACATTGCAGGAGGCCCTAGGTTCAATCCCTAGCACTGGAAAAAAGAAAGAAAAGAAGGAAGGGAGGAAGGGAGAGCAATGGGGGGGGGGGGGGGGAGGAGGGAGGAAAGGAAAAAGAAGATCTGATAGGAACCCTTAACTCTTATTTTTACATATTTTTCACAGATTAATACAAGATTAATGTGATTGACAGATGCATCTGCCTTTGGGTAATACAAAAGAGAAAACAAATCAATCATTAGATATACTATTTGCTAGATTAAGTCTAAAGGCATGAGCTCCCTCATGACAAAAGGATCATTGCTTTGACCTCTAGACATGTGTTTTGCCTCCATACATGGGATGAGATTGTTCAGAGGTAAGGTGCTAGGATGGGCTCTGGATCAAATTCCAGAGAGACTTATCAGCAATGGTGTGCTTGCATTTGGTTTCTGCCAGCCAGGGCAAGATTGAGGTCATAGTCACCGCCAGTGTCATTAGCAAGTTTCTGAGTCACGGCTACTGATGGCAATGCTACCTGGCCAAGAGCACTAACAGATCATTTATGTAGGGTTTCTCTGCTTATTCTTGCTCCCTCTTAGGGACTTCTGGCATTCCAGCCTCCATGACTCACTTTCTTTACTGCCCTACAAAGCATTTCTTTGGCAATTATGGCAAGGAGCCATTTTATTTTTAAGCAGCGATTAGAGCGCAGATTTATTTAACTCCTTTTCTTCCTTTGATGACACAAGAATTCCTCCTCCTTCTCCTCCCCCCTCTTCTTCCCCCCCTCTTCCTCCTCCCCCAACCTCCTCCAACCACCACCTCCTCCTCCTCTTCCTCCTCCTCCTCCTCCTCCTCCTCCTCCTCCTTCTTCTTCTGGCTTGAACTCAGAGTCTGGATGCTGTCCCTTAGCTTTTTCCTTCAAGGCTAGTGCTCTAACACTTGAGGCATAGGTCCATTCCTCCTTTATGATAGTTAATTTGAGATAGCAGTCTTAGAGACTTTTGTGCCTGGACTGGCTTTGAACCTCCATCCTCTGATCTCAGCCTCCTGAGATGTTAAGACTACAGGCATGAGATCCAGGGCCCAGCTTATATTCTTTTTAAAGAAGTTTAAATTGAAAAGGAGAATTGTCCAGAAAAAGCTGAAGACTATGGGAATCCATACATATATTAGACCACTCATTCCTACATGTTTTTGTTTGCTTACTGTACTGGAGATTGAACCCAAGGTTCCAGTGCACCAGACAAGTCCTTAACCACTGAGCTACAGGACTGCTGTGGTATGGCTTTCTGGTGCTCATTTGTTTGTTTTGTTTTGTACTGATTTGGGGATTTAACTCTGGGCCTTATGCTTAATAGGCAAGTATCCTACCACTTGAGCCACACTTGCAGGCCTTTTTGCTTCAGTTATTTTTCAGATAGGGTTTTATCCTTTTGGGCCCAATGCCCCTAGACTGAGATTCACCTGATCTCCATTTTCTTCCTGAGTAGCTGTGATTACCGAACGAGCCACTATGCAGCCTCCTAACTGGCTGCTCAACCTCTCTAACTGTGGACAGAGATAAACTACCCTTTCTCCTACTTTCACTCCTCTTCTGGGGCAACAGCACTCACACTTCTTGAGTGTGGATGGAGGGGGAGGGGGAGGGAGGTGATCAAATTAGAATCTTGCTCCTATCGCTGCCCCCACTTACCAACAGCTGCTCTGGCCGACTTTCAGGGGTTCAGCAGCCCTGCCTCCAGCTGCTTCAGCAGTAATTTGAAGAGCGCAAGGGGGCAGGGGAAGAGAGAATTGAAGAGCATTTCATGATATAAAAGCAGAGGCAGAAAACCTTGAAATAACTGATCTAATAACTAGATCCAGATTTGTAAAAATTTCAAGAGCCCTACACTATCAAGCCATCAATTCCAAGGCATCTGTGACAGTGAATGTCACAGGACCTTCACTCTGTTCTTTATCAGTAAAACTGCTTCGATTCCATTCCAGCTAAAAAGCACTGAACACATTTGTTTGCATAATGTCCCAAAGTACAAAAAGATCAACTGAGTGTAAAAGCAGAATGACAAATTGAGCCCTGTAGCTAACATCTTTTAACCAATCAGGTTGATGTTCTTTCTCAAAGATGTCTTTGGATCACATTTGTGGGCAGAGGCCTACTAAGCAGGAGCTCACATTTATTTTTGTTTTATTTATTTAGTTTTTGTGTGCTAGTATTAGGGCTTGAACTCGGGGAATAGATGCTGTCTCTTAGCTTTTTCACTCAAGCCTGGCACTCTACCAATTGAGCCACAGCTATGTTTCTGGATTTTTTTTTTTTTTTTTGGATGGTTAATTGGGGATAAAGAGTCTCACGGCTTTTCCTGACTAGGCTGGTTTTGAATGGAGATCCTCAGATCTCAGCCTCCTGAGGTAGCTAGGATTACAGGCATGAGCCATTGACTTCAGGCTCCGCTCACATTTATAGCACCTGACACAATGCTTGGCACAAAGCAGGTGCACAGTAACTTATATTCTGGGCTGAAGATTTCCATTTCTGCTGAGAAAGAAATCTTTGTGGCTTCAAAGTATCTTTAGGGACAATAAATCCAACAAGACATGTTTCTCAAAACTGTGTTGTCAAATCACCCTATGAAAAAACATCCTCTTGGATGTTAATGTGATAATATAGATGAATTTGTACTTTGGACACGGTTAGCTCAGGAGATTGATGACCTTTGGTTACAATGACTTTTAGTTCAAATCTGTAATTCCTAGTAAAGATTAACTTAATCTTTGTCACTTGGGGACTGTTTCATTGGTCTTTAGTAAAATTGAGATGAAAATGATCAACTCTATGCATACCATGTGTCTGCTTTCTGTTAGTTACCATAACAGAACCCCGGAGGGTAGGTGCTTTGACAGGGAAAGAAGTTTGTTTAGCTTGTGCTGTTGGA